GCCTTGGAGACAGCTGATTATCCACTGAAACATCCATAAAGTATGAGCTAAATAAACCTGTTCTTCTTTCACTTTGAGTGTTTAATATTTTGTCCCAGAAAGAGTGAAAAGTAACCAAGGCCATAAGCTACACTGTGCAGTCACCTGTGTTTTAAACCAGGATTTCATTAAAAACTACCAAATGCATCTTGTCATGAGCTAGATGTTAAAAATCAACAACCCTATGTTCGTGGACATACAATGTTGTAGGAATAGGGACAGGAGAGTGCCCTGGGCCTCCGTGCCCCGGTGTCCTGGGAAAGAGGACAGTCTACTGAAAACAAAACCTTTCAACAAAACCTTTAGTTGATGGCTCTAAAATAGATTTTTGGGCTCCATGTGTCCTGAGCACCCCCTGCTGGTCCTGAATACTCTTGCAGGTAGGTTTGTCCTGGGCTCACACTGAGGACCCCTCACTGTGTCTCACAGTAAGAGAAGGCTGTGTCCTCAGGGGTCACAGTGTTCAATCACAGGAAAACCTGGTTCTTGGCTGTGTCTATGTAGATAGAGATGTGGGTAGTGAGAGAAAGGCTGTACTTACTGACACTATTATAACCTATTTCTCCCATCCATTTAAGCCTCTTCCTTGAGGTCTGGCAGATCAAGGGCCAACAGTAAGCTAGAATAATGATGGAATAAAAGTGATCAGACATTTCAAACATTAATAGACACTGTAAGTGAACTGATACTGACTCCAGAAGATCCATACACCATTGTGGTCCTCTAGTAAGAGTGAGGGCTTATGCAGTTTGAGTGATCAATGGAATTTTAGCAAAAAGTTTCAAGTCAGCATTGAGCCAGTATGCCTTCAAATCCATCCTGTAATTATTTTTCCTGTTCCACAATGTGCATTTGGGATAGATATACTTAACATGTGGCACAACCCTCACATTGGTTCCTTAATCATAGTGAGAGGGCTAATCATAGTGAGAGGGAATGCCCAAATGAAGTCATTAGTGTGCCTTTTCTGCAAGAAATAGTACATACAAAACAATATTGCTTTCCTGGAAGGACTGCAGAGATTACTGGCACTATCAATGATTTGAAGGATATAGGTGTGGTGGTTCCATGACATCTACATTTAATTTTTTGATTTGGCCTGTGCAGAAGATGAATGGATCTAGGATAATGAGGGTACATAACCATAAGCAGAATCAAGTTGCGACTCCAACTGAAGCTGTGGAGATACCAGATGTGGTATCTCTTGCTTGAGAAGATTAACACATCTGGTAACAGATACTCAGGTATTGATTGGAGAAATCTGTTCCTTCTTTATACTCATCCACAAGACTCATCAGAAATAATCTGAAGGGCTGGGGATTTAGCTCAGTGGCATAAGTACCTGCCTTGCAAGCAGGTAGTCGTGAGTTCAATTCCCGGTACCGATAAAAAAAAAAAAAGAAAGAAATAATTTACTTTCAGTGGACTAGACCAGTGATATGATTTTACTATCCCACCTCAAGTTTACCTTAACTTTCCTATGTCTCAATTTAGGTTTCAAGCATCTTGATCATCTTTTGATCATCCAGTGGTTTAGAGCATGCAAACATTTATCTTCTAAAACACAAGTTGTTGATTTGGCTTCCCCTACAGCCAAAATATAGGCACAAAGCCTAGCGAGTTTAATCGCACATTGCAGACAATATGTTCCTCAATCAAGGACATAACTTTGGCCTATGGGTCTGCATAACCCAGAAAGCTGCAGGTTTTGAGTGGGTCCCTAAAAAAAGTGCTCCGCAGTAGGTAAGGGGAGCTGTGCAGGCTGCTCTGCTGCTAGAGTTATATGTCCAGCAGGTTGAATAGCATTGCAAGTGGCAGCGGGTTGCTGTCTGTAGTCTCTGGCAGGGCCTCTTTAGAAAAATGTGAGAGCGCTTCAGGATTTTGTAGCAAGACTCTGCCATCATCTGCAGCCAATTACTCTGCCTTTGAAAAATAACTTTGTGTAATTGTTATTGTAAAGAAGAGAGGAAAAGAAAGTGCTCTAAAGGATATAACTGTACATATATTTCAGTGTATAAAATAGATAACAATATTACTGAGTTTTTGTTGGATCATTGAACAGAACTGTTTGCAGTCTCACTGCTTGAATGTTCACTTTGTATGGTTTAATTTTGTAACTGAACTATTTCTAAAATGACGATATGTAATCTATTATCTTGTGATTTTATTTTTTTGAAATTCTGTGTTACTTGTACCCTTTTTCTGTTTTTTTTTTTCTTCTCTTTTTCTCTTTAAATAAAAAAAAAAAGAAAAATAACTCTTGGCCTGCTACTGGCCCTTACTGCAAACTGAATGCTTGACCATGAGACACCAGGTTACAATGGGACCTGAGCTGTGAATCATGTATTGGCTATTATCTGACCCACTGAGTCATACCTGAAAGTGCACTGTAACACTGCCATGAAATGAAAATATGTGATCCAGGGAAAGTATTTCAAGAGGGCACAAATTACATGAAAAACTTCATCAGATGCCCATGGCTTCTACTCTTGCATAACCTCATTTCCTGACATGTATCTGTGGCATCCTGGTGTGTACCACATGATCAGCTGTTAGAAGAAAGAGAAAAGCTAGCTACTGTTTACAGATTGTTGTGCATGGATGCCAGCACCACCTGAAGTTTGGCAGTTTCAGTACTGCAATCAGTTTCCAGGATACTGATGGATTAATGCTGATGATCTAAGCAATGGTGAAGAGAAACCATCACAATAGTTAAGAATTCTGGACAGTGCACTGGGTTAGTGCATTTAGTCTGGGATAAAAAATGTGCAAGATATATGTGGCTTTACACTGACTGCTGGGCAGTAGCCAATGGTCTGGCCAAGGGCTCAGAGACTTGGAGGAACATAACTGGAAAGTTGTTGATGACGGTATTCTGAAGGGAGGTATGTGGACAGACATATCAAAATGAGTAGGAGTAAAGCATACAAAAATATTTGTATCTTTTGTAAACTCTCACCAAAAAGTGACCTCAGCAAAAAAGGACTTTAACAATCAAGAGGATACGATGACTCATTCTGTAGATACTGGTCAGCTTCTCTCTTAAACCATCCGTATCCTTGACCAATGGGCTCATGAACAGAGCAGCTGTTTTGCAGGGAAGGAGGATGTACATTCCCTGCAACCCAGACTCCCATTCACACAGCCTGATCTGACTACAACCACTAGTTAATGCCTAATATGCTAGCAGCAGAGACGACCACTGATGCATAAATATAGTGCCATTTGCTTCAGTGATCAACTCTCAACATGTTGGCAGGTGGATTGTATTGGACAGTTTCTGTCACGGAAAGGAGTGTACTTTATCCTTATTGGCATAAACACTTATTCTGGATTTAGATTTGCCTTTCTTGTATGTAATTCTGCTAAAACTCTCTTCCACAGATTCACATACTGCCTCATCAACTGTCATGGAACTCCATACAACATTGGATCCCACACCAAGGAGCACATTTCACATCTAACAAAGTGAGACAATGTGATTATATTCATCGTGCCTACCATGTTTCTTACCTCCCAGAAAGATGGATTGATAGAAAAAGTGCATTCAAGATACAGCTGCAGCACAAGTTAAGTGGCAATAGGAGGCAGAACTGGACAAGATTCTTCAAAAGCCCATCTGTTTTGAGTCAGCATGCACTGTATGGTACCATATTTTCCATAACCAGAATTTATGAGTCCGGAATGAAGGGGTGGAAGAGTGGCACAACTCCCTGTGACTTGCAGTGATCTACAAGCAAAATTTTTGCATCCTGTTCTCACAACCTTATGCTCTGCTGGCTTACAAAGTCTTAGTTCCAGAGAGGGAAAGGTTTGTGTCAGGATGCACAACAGTATCACTGAACTGGAAGTGAAGACTTCCCTTGGTCATTTTGGTCTCCTTTGTGGCTCTGAGAAATTAAGTTCAAACGGGCATTACAGTGTTGAGCGGAGACAGACCCAAACTTTCAGTCTCCCCAATGGAAGAAAGAAAAAAAAAAATACTTGGCATGCAGGAGATCCGCTTGCAGTACCCATACACCATGCCATCTTATTACAGTTAAGAGGAAACTATAACAATACAATCCCAGCATAATGTTCAACGGTCCAGAAACTTCAGTAATAAAGGTATGGGTTGCTATACCAAAGAACCAAAACCTGCTGAGGTGCTTTCTAAATGCCAAGGCAACACAGAATGGGCGCTACAATTTAGTTCTAAATACCAGATATGACTCCGTGATCAGCTATGAAATGAGGATCATACGTGTAATAGTTCTTTCCTAATATGCTTTCACTGAAGTATAATATTGATACACTTAAAGTATGGCTCAACCTATGTTACAATGTTCCAGTTATGATAGAAACATCACTCCAAGAAAACAGCCCTTCCATTGTGTGGAGGGAACTTCTGCATTTGCATTTGTATGCAGGACAGTTATAACATGTTAGGTACATTTACAACCTCCTATTTATTTCTGGAGACTATGGTTTAAAGAAATGTGTCTGGTTGTAAAGTTTTCAAGGGCTGAATAGTGATAGTTAACTGACTGTGTCACTCTGGGTACTACATGCCCAGCTGAACTTGCCCATTAAAATTATGGTTGTTGCCAGAAAACTATGAAAAATAAACCAAAAAAAGGAAGATTTTGTTCAATTTGCAGGGAGGGGCTCCAGTATGCGCTGACACCCTGGAAACTGTCTTCTGGCTTCCAGCGGACGCTTCTGCCTCCAGCTCAGACCATTCAGTCCATTTCCACAGACCCCTTCGTCTCCTGTTAGATTTGGAAGAGACACCACAGTGGACTCAAGGCCTTCAATTGGATTATTTGAATATCCAGTGCACAGACAAGCCTTTGGCACTCTTCCACATCTGTTTCTGTGGTAGCCACTGAAAGCAAATCTTGTAAATTCTTATATGTTTGCATATCTCACATTAAATGTTTCTCTACCTTTACACAAAAGCCATCTGATCTGTCACAATCGGATACAGTATTATGGTTTATTTTGTGGTAAAATACAAATTTACAAGTCACAAAAAGTAAAATGGTAATGGTAAGAAATTTTATACAAATCGTAATATTGACCCCAAATGAAAGCAAAATAGGTGAATTTATGTACTTGATATAATTGTTTTGATATATATAGGTATCTTGTTTGGATATGAAAAGTCAAACATTTTCTAATCTACAAAGTGTGAAAACAAATTAACTTTTCTAAAATATGTTCACATTTATCTCTAAACATGTAAACATATATAACATCAAATTCAAAAACCTTCTGTTACACAGCATATGAAGTATGTATATCAAGAAAATTAAAGTTAAAGCTAGTCAGAAATCTCATCTATTAAAAAATGAATAAAAATTATCTTTTAGTAGCCTACACTACCCAATAATAAAAACAAAACTAAAGTTACATAAATACTACCCTTCATGGAAGTGAGAAATAAATTTCAAATAACCTTACTTAATTAGAAGATAGTATATATTAAGTTTAAAGACAATGGCTTACACAAAAATATATTACGTCAATGTTTTTATAGTAAAGACTGCAGATACATAATTCATATATTTACAAGTGATGTACTAAAGAACACAGAAGGACTATATTCTAGGATATCTCCATTTGGAGAGTATTTTCTGGAAACTGATGAAGCAATATTGACATCAAAATTTTCATTAAATTTATACAAGTCTCTACTACATGAGGGATTTTCACAGGCTTTTCAAATTAGGCGAAAGTACACAGCGTTTCTCCCCAGTGTGATTTCTTATGTAACTGACAAAAACTGCTCACTGAATAATTTCCCCACATTGCTTTGCTTATACATAGGGTTCCAAATCAGTGTGGGGACAATGTATCTGAGGACTATCAAGTCTTTTTTCCACATATTATTAATCACCTGAGTACTTTCATGTCTCTGACAGTATTTGACCCTTCCCACATTGCTTGGACACAAAACTTTCTAACTACTGTGAGTTCCTCCATGTCTTCGGTAACATTTGTATATAGTAAACCCCATCCCATCGTGCTTACACACATAATATTTCTCCCCAGTGTGAGTTCTTTCATGTACTTGATCAAAATGGTGTAGTGAATCCTTTCCCACATTGCTTACATGTAGGGCTTCTCCCCAGTGAAATTTTTCATGTATTCAGCTATCTGTTGGCTGAATATTTTTCCACATTGTTTATATGCATAGCATTTGTCCCAAGTGTGAATTGGTTCATGTATTTGAAAGTTACTCTGTCGGATAATATTTTCCCATGTTGTTTGTATGCATTGGATTTCTTCCCAGTGTGACCTCTTTCATAAGACATCTGCCTCATGAATGCTTTTCTATGTTTCTCATATACATAGTTTCTCGCCCATGTGATTTCTTTCATTTATTATACAATAACTCAATGTAATGAATGCATTCTCATGTTGATTAAAAATATAGGCTTCCTCACCTGTGTGAGTTCGTTTATGTCTGCAAAATGCAGAACTATCAGCAAAGCCTTTCCCACACTGCTGACATACATAGGGTTTCTCCCCAGTGTGAACTCTTTGATGTATTTTATAACACATCTGTCTGGTGAATGCTTTTCCACATTCCTCACATACGTAAGGTTTCTCCCCAGTGTGAGTTCTTTCATGGATTTTACAATAACTCAGTGTAGTGAATGCCTTCCCACACTGCTTACATGCATAGTGTTTCTCCCCAAAATGAAGCCTTTCATGTATCTTACAGTAATTCAGCGTAGCAAATGCCTTCCCACATTGCTTACATGCATAAGGTTTCTCCCCAGTGTGACTTCTTTCATGTATTCTACAATAACTCAGTGTTGTGAATGCTTTCCCACATAGCTTACATGCATAGGGTTTCTCCCCAGTGTGCCCCCTTTCATGTATTTTACAATTCCTTGGTGTAGCAAATCCTTTCCCACATTGCTGACATGCATAGGGTTTCTCCCCAGTGTGACTTCTTTCATGCATTTTATAACACATCTGTCTGGTGAATGCTTTTCCACACTTCTCACATACATACGGTTTCTCCCCAGTGTGATTTCTTTCATGTATCCTACAATAACTCAGGGTAGTGAATCCTTTCCCACACTGCCTACACGCATAGGGTTTCTCTCCAGTATGACTTCTTTGATGCATTTGGTAACATATCTGTCTAGTGAATGCTTTTTCACATTTCTCACATACATATGGTTTCTCCCCAGTGTGATTTCTTTCATGGATTCTACAATAACTGAGTGTAGTGAATGCTTTCCCACAATGGTTACATATATAGGCTTTCCCACCTGTGTGGGTTTGTTTCTGTTTATGAAATGCAGACTTATTAGCAAATTCTTTTCCACCCTGCTCATACACATAGGGTTTCTTCCCAGTGTCAATTCTTTCATGGATTTTTACACCACTGGGAGGGCTGGAGCCTTCCACTCTTTTCTCACATACAAAGGTCTTATCTCCAGATACAGTTATTTCCCTAGGGCTATAGTTGGAGTTGCCACATTGCTTGTATTGATAGGGTTTCTCTCCAGCCTTTGTTTCTGCACGCATCTGAAAAGACTGGAAATCACTGCAGGGTTTTCCACGTTCATTCCAATTACTCAGCTTGTCATTAAAGCCCACATACTCACATGGCCCCAGTCCAGTCTGAGTTAAAAAGGACACACTTGGTGATAACTGTCCAGGCAGGGGCTTTCCACAAGCAAGGCTTTCAACTGGCTTTAAAGCAGCTTCTTGCATCTCTACATTCTCATCTGCAGTCCAAAGGAGTATTTGTTCATTTTGATCCCAAGCTTCATTTTCATAGAATTTGACCGTCTCTTCATTTCTTTAAAAAAAAATAAAGGACAAAAATGTCAGTCACAATAAAACGTGTCCATATCATGCTTGCTTCAGCAGCACATATACTAAAGTTAGATACAGAGAAGATTAGCACGGCCCCTGCGCAAGGATGACACGCAAAAAGTGTCCAAACCAATAACTTTCCAGAATACCTTCTGACTTGAGTTTGATAAGAAATTTTGAGAATGAACAGGCTGAATGCTATAGACGTTTCCTCTAAAATACTGATTCTCCAAAGGATCTTCTTCTTTTGAGGATTTTAAATTAATATATGTTTGTAATACATATAGTTTCACTTAGGTCACGAATACATAGGTGCATCTCACACTGATCCTTTTGGGCACACTTTCCCATATCTCTGTCCCCTTTTCCCTTATCCCGGTCATCTTTTCCATCTCCAAAAAAATTAGCCTTTCTGTTGTCTCTCACTTCATCTTAATTTTATTCCCTAACTTACATTTTGGTATCTCATGTAAAAGAAAAAAATCATGATAATTTACTTTGTCTCACTTATTTCATTTAACATTATGAGATGGAGCCCATCTCCTTTTTTGTTTTTATTTGCCAAGATACATTCTTCTTTATGGTTGAATACATAGCACATTTTTCAATGTTGAGAATTAAACAAGTCTTAGCAATAAATTACTCTTGTCTTTATTCTGAGAGCGATTCTCACTGATCATTCATTTGGTCAGGGTGAACTTCACATTGTCTTCCTGCTGGCTCAGCTTAAAAGAGCACTGGGATTATCACAATGCTGAGCTCATCCTACATGCTCTTTATCTATGTGTGTAACTGTGAGCATCGAGGCTGCTACAAGAGATTAGGTTTCATGATTTCCAGAAATTAGGTATTGTGAATACCCAGGCATATGCTACTCTGAGCATGGGTATGCATGTGTCACCAAGACAGGGTGATTTTAAATGCTTTCAAAATATACTTAGATCAAAGTTTACTTAGATCAATGCAAATTTCTATTTTTAATTTTTTGAAACATTTTTATATTTATTATCAAATTGGTTCTATTTTATGTTCCTACCAACAATGAATATATGAGTGTGTCTTCTAAGAATTTTAAATTCTAATTCTCTGCAGGGTGTTTTCTAAACATCTATTACTACAACATCAGGATTCATCTGCATTTTGAATATTGTTTCCAGGTTGACAATTTTTAGATAATATACGTCTCATATTCATATATATATATATATATATATATATATATATATATATACATACATAAGGAGATATTTTGAAGATGAATTCTTGTCAAAGTAGAAAATTTATTTTTTTATACATTCCTATACACAACCTAGCATTACAGTTTCACAGATTTTTATGATGTTGGTCACAAAAGAATTTTTTTATGGATATATGAGATAGTGTTTCTTGTTGCTTGATATCACTACTAACCTAGTTTCTTGTATTGAAATATTTCTGCATTCCAGCATCAGATTATAGAAAATCAACCTGTGTGCGTATCTGGAGAACTTTTGATTAAATAAATTTGAACATGACCTCATTTGTAAAATTTCTTTGCTTATATTTTTGCTCACATGCCAACCTAGGGAATATTAGTTTTGCTTATAAATGCAAATTACCTTAGATTTCTTGAACAGTTTTTATCTTCATCTATTTGCTGGTTGTTCCAGGTCCTTCCTGAATTGTAGCCATAGAAATATAAAAAGTCACCATATTATTATATAAAAATTAGCAGAGAGCAGTTAAATTCATGGTATAATGAATTTTCAGAATGTTTTCACATTCTATTTATTGAATCTGTACCAATAAGCAAGAACCAATGCTCTCTCATCGTATAAATGAGGAAATGTCATCCTTACCTATAGCAGTTATATTCAAACATGTTTCCCACATCACATCTATGTAGAGTTTCTTCTGGGATGGATTCAACACAGCCCATTCCTCTACAGTGAAGTTCACAAGTATATCCTCCAAAGTCACTGGCTCCTAAATAATCACAGATATATTTGCTGAAAGGTTGAGACTCACACCTTGAGATATTTGAACTCTTCTCTTAAAAGTTAAACTGAAACCAATTCCTTCAAATATCAACTCCACGCCTTGGTCGCCAAGTATAAGTACAAATTTTCACAAAGCAATTCTGATGCTAGATTGTAACTCACTGCTCTAGCAACAGCAGTATAGAACTGGTTGCCTGGCAGGGTCACTGAAATTTTATTTGTGCACTATTTTTTTATTTGTGCACTATTTTTAAAGGAGAGCTCATAGAGGGAGTCTGCAAATGACCATTCACAAAACACAGGTGAACATAAATATCTACCGAATGGTTCTGATAGACCATAGATGATAAATGCTTTCAAATCCAATGCTTTACACAATTAAGTCATTCTGTCTTTGATGGTCTCAGGATGCATTTTGAAATTTGAATCTGCTTTCAAAGAAAAAAAACTTAATGGACCATTATATAAAATTTATGAATAATAATGAAAATGGTAATGAAAAACAGTATAATCAGAGGAAGAAGAGTGGCATTTTATCTTATGCCTTGGTGACAACAAATGATCACCTTGCACTGAGATATAAAAAGCTCTAGGAGCATCTAAGGGAGTTGAATAACGGGAAGAACCAGATAAAATACATAGAACACATTAAAAATGAAGATATCACAAGGTAATTAGGCACAAAAGGAAAACTTCAATGAGGCGTGGTGTACATGGCTGTAATCCCTGCACTTGGGAGGCTTATGAAGGAAGATTTCCATGAGTTTAGGACTGGCATAGATTCAAGTCCAGCTCCAGTTATGTAGTAACTTCAAGGCTTGTCAAGATTACAGGGATACCCGGTGTCAAGCACCCCTTCAAAAAACAAAACTTAAAGAAAATATTGTGTCACTTACAAATAACACCTTTCGATTGTTCAAAAAAACAACACATGTGCAGTATAACAGAAGACTGACAACAACTGCTGAGCAAGGTGACAAATTGCACAGTGCCCATGAAAGACATTCATAATACATGCCACCTCTGCTACAATGTAAATGCAGTAATGAGAATGACTAATGGATCTCAGGGAAGGAAGAAGTAAACAGAACACTGATTCATGATGCAGCTGGTTTAAACATCTCTGGGGAGATTCAGTCGAAAGATGGTAGATAGATAAGCAGCAGAATACAGAGGCTCCCTGAGACAGACAATTCAGATGCCAGAATAAAACATCATGGGGAGGTCCATGATGACAAGGAGATGGATCCTCTCCACCTAGGAAGAAACTAAAGGGAAAAGAACTGGTCAAACATGCAATCTGGGGACTACCATTGGAGCAGCTAAGACTAGCAGCCCTGGTGCCCTCTCTGCAATGCCCAAACTTGCACAGGCGTGACTTGCCAAGCCGCCCAAGCTCCCACCACTGCAACTTGCTGGAACCATGGTTGTGCTGAAGTGAGAGGTTGGTGAGCCCAATGGAGAATGGAACCGGCAAGGGACCTACCTGCATTACCCGCAGTGAGCACTGGGAATAAGACCCTCCCATGGGAAAGGGGCAACAAACTGGTTGACATGTTGGAATAGGGCAGGACAGGCAGGAACAAGGAAGAGCAGTGACTTCAGTCAATTGTTTGCTTCCCAGACCAGATTGGTGGGATATGCTTGGCCTGTCTTGCTTCTGGCTGGGACCCAATAAATCACCTCAAACCAATTCCTTACACACGGCACACACTAACATGGTGAAAGGCCCCTGTAGGTTGAATGATCCGGAAGGGAGGGGCCAGCATACACCACCCCTGCTTGCACCTCAGTGAACAATAGCAAACTGGAGAGGACAGAAAACCCTAGCCAGGACACTTCAGAAGAACCACACCAACAAGGAAAGGGGCTAGCACCTCCTCTATACACCTGTTTGGAAGAAACCAAAAACATGGCAAGAGAAAGAAATAAAAAAAAGCCTCAAGCCCCCAACCCTGAGAACACTGATCCAGGAGAAATAAATACAAAAGAGACTGAGGGCCACAAATGTGCAATATCAGACACGGCATCAGTGGACATAGAGAGATATCTTCCAGACCTTACAGACAAGCTCAAAAGTGAAATATTTAATCAAGTAAAGCAAGATATAAGTGGATAAAAGAAATGCTAAGCACCTCTCAAGAAGGCACAAATGGAAGAACAGAGAAACACAAAAAAAAGGAGAGAAACATTCGATGAAGACTCTAAACAAAACCTAGAATACATGAAGCAGCTTCAAAGAGATTACCAGGAAATAACTCCATTGAAAGCTGGCAAAACTGCTTGAAAGAAACTAAGGATAGACTATCAAAACTTGAGGACAGGTTTGCAATGTGTGACCCTGAAAGGAAAAATTTCTTAAAAATAACAAGGAAACAGGTAGTAACAATACAAAGGCTAGAAGACAACAAGAGGATTTATAACTTAAGAATAAAGAATGTGAATGAAGAAGCAGGAATAAAAACAAAGGAAATATAAATGCTATTCACAGAAATAATTAAGGAAAGCTTCCCAAACATAGGAAAACGAAATGATATTCAGATGTATGAGGCATACAGAACTCCAGCCACCTACAACCAAAACAGAGCTACATACAGACATAATAATCAAGATCCCAGAAATTCACTATAAGAACAGAATATTAAAAGTCGTCAGAGAAAAACAAACAGATCACCTATAAAGGAAACCCATCAAAATCAAGGCAGACTTCTCGATACAGACCATCAAATCAAGAAGAGCTTAGAGCAAAGTATACCGAGCCCTGAAAGAAAATAACCTCCAGACCAGATTGATGTACCCTGAAAAACTGTGTCTAGAAATTAATGGAGAAACAAGATGCTTCCAACATAAAGACGAACTGGAGGAATTCGTGACCACCAATCCAACCCTACAGAGAATACTGAAGGATATCCTAGAGAGAGAAAAAGGTACCAGGATTTCAGGAACAGAGGCAGAGAGGCCTCAATGAATAGAGCAGAAAGTGGAATGAAGGAGAAAAACAGACAACTAATGGCAGAAAAATAGCACAACAGAAATGAGGCAGAGAAGGTTGGCTATAATCTCTACAATCTCTAATATAGATGTCCTTGATGCACGAAAAAAAAAAAAAAAAGAAAGAAAGAAAAAAGAAACACAGGCAGAGTAGATCAGGAGGCAGGGTCCACTGAGATGCTCTATATAGGAAATATAATTAATCTGAAAAAGGATTTACAGACCAAAAATCAAATATGAGAAAACAATGCTCTATGTGACAGGGAACCAGAGAGCAATAGGGGCAACTTGACCAGCACCTGCAGATGGTTTGGAAAGACAGGTTTTGTAGGTAAAGGAATACAACTTGAGATTAAGTCCAGGAGGGAGAAGGTTCAGAACCACTTAGGTAAATAGCAAGTTGCCCCTCAATCTGAAAACTGAGGGAGTTGGTGGGACCCAAAAATGCACAATGCACCCTATGGGAGTGAAATGGGAGGAATAATCTAAAAAAAGAAGGCAGAGGATATTGTTACTAGTGTATCAGGATTTAAAACCCATATTACTCATACCACTCTGTTTAGATAGATTATATTCTGTCCCAGTTTGTCTACTTGCACTAGATCTGAGGGCACAGACAGCTATCCCAAAAATAGCAGGATACAGTATGGTAATCATCCTTTATTCCCTATTAACTTAGTCTGGAGCCCTGTATGACTTATACTGTTTTATCATGACTGATGGTAGTTGAATCTGGTTTGTTAAGATTGCTGCTTGGTATCAATAGATTTTATTCAAAACTGTTATGATTGATAATATCAAGTCTGAGAGTATAGGCAGCAACACTGAAAATGACAAGATTCACTAAGATACCAACTCTTGTTTATTACTTGCTTTTGAAGTTTTACATTATCTACAATGCTTTGTTTTTATTAATATTATTATGTACTGCTATATTCAATTATATTGTGGCTGATGATACAGACAATTCTATTGAAGATAACAAGAGACAATACAGTAACCACTGTAGAACACACTGTACTATGGTTTTATATGACTTTTTCGTTTCAAGTGTTTATAGGAATATGTTTTATTTTGTTTTGTTTTGTTTCTCCCTCTAATATAGAAAGCATAGAAATACATGTAGAGACTCATGCATGCATAGAACCTATAAACAGTTTATAAGAACTTATCTTGTAATGCATGATAAAATGAACAACTACTTTGAAGAAAAAGAGACACTACAGTACCCAGTGCTGATCCCGGAGTGTCATGAGGTGAAATCCAGCAATACTATTATTTGTTCAGAGTGATTTTAGCCTGCTTTGGTTTGTTTAATCTTAACACACATGAAGATATGGATAACTGCATCTATGTTTAAGTGTACAGGATTGTTAACTATATTAGTAAGTTTTTGTTGGATAGTTGAACAGAACTGTTTTCAGTCTCACTGTTTGAATGTCCACTTTGTATGCTTCACTTTTGTAACTTGAACAACTATTTGTAAGAGGACAATACGTAATTATCAACTAATGATTTCTTACTAGTGATTTCTGTTTATTTTTTCTTTGAAATTATGTATTATTTCTACCTTTTTTCTGTTTTGTTTATTCTTTCTTTAAATAAAATTTTAAAAAATAAAAATATAAATATCTCTGGGAGAAATCACAATGTGCTTCTCATGCTCAGGAAGAAACAGGTATGTACCTGGAAACCTCAACTATACACCCTTCTGTTCTTTGTACATAATTAGACATTCAAACGGGAACAATACACCTGAATTCCTTTGTATTTTACAACAAAATAATTTTTTAGATATGAAAAAGTTCCCCAGAACAAAAGCAAGATCCACCAATAATGGAGATATTGAAGCCAGGTATGTTGCACATGCCTGTAATCCCAGCACTTGGAAGACTGAGTCAGGATTATTGTGCTTTTGAGATACACAGTGAGGTGAAGGCCAGCTTGAACTATATAGCAAGACCCTGCCAAAAAAAAAAAAAAAAAAAGGATAGA